ATGGTCATCCCTCATTATTCAACATTTAGCTGTTTGCTTGTCATTTGATAGCTCTGTGAATTCTCAATGGTTCCTTAAGGTAAATTAAATAGAATTGTGATACCTACATTTTCAAGACTCTTGGCACATGCAACCATATTGTTTTCCAGAAAGGTTCCACTGTATGCAGCCCCACCAGTGTATGAGATAACCTAGTGCTAAATTCTTACCAATGCTAGGATTACATTTTTAAAAATCTTAATTTTAAAAAGTGAAAAAATTCATGTTGCTGCATTATCAGCTTTATATTTGTTTTCTGTAAATCCTCAACCAAGAATATTTTTACATTGATTTTTTTTTCTTTTTAGGAAGGGAGAGGGAAAGACAAAAACATCACTGAGAGAGAAACACATCAATTGGTTGCCTCCTGCACAAGCCCTTATCCGGGCCTGGGCGGGGAGGAGCCTGCAACCGAGATGTGCGCCCTTGGACCAGAATCGGGACCCTGTGGTCCCCAGGTCAATACTATCCACTGAGCCAAACCGGCCAGGGCTGTTATCAGCTTTTTAAACCAGGTAAGCAGAGTGCCCAGAACCACACTGAGAACTGTGAGACTAGGACAGCTTGAGACACTACCTACATGGTAGCATTTGGCAAACACAGACCATGAGCAGAAAGAAAGAAAAATCACGTATGAGGCGGACGATTCGGTAAACTCACCCCTTGGCAGTTAAAGGAAGGGGGGCCTTGCAGGTGAGCATCTAAACCTGATGGATCCTGGGCACATCCCCTGCAGGTCCTGGGGGAGCCGCTGGGGGGCAGCATGGCACTGGAGGCTGAGCAGGCCCAGAGAATGAACCAGCACACACACCACCTGAGCTGGGAGACAAAGCAGCTGTCAGAAGCCACCAGCCATATCCTAGAGTAGGAAAAAGAAAACCAGACCCTCCAGGGCACAGTCCAGGAGTAGGTGCCTCCGTGGCCCTCAGGAATGCAGCATCAACTGCACGGATCTGCAGGAGGAGAACCAGCAAATCTGGAGTCAAATTAACACAGAGTTGCCACTCCAGAAGGAAAAAGACAACAGTCAGCACTTGGAGATCATCAACAAAGTGCAGTGGCAGGCCCTCATGGATAAGCACAGCCGCCACAAGACCCTGCTGCATCGCTCCCTGGAAATGGAGAGCAAAGCATTCAGGCTGAGGGAGCAGGACCAGCTCCAACAAGAGGCAGCACTGCGGGAGCTGAGGAAGGAGCTGAACACTGAGGAAGAAGTTGCAGGAGCTGAATGCTGGGGGACAGCATGGCACTGGAGGCTGAGCAGGCCCAGAGAATGAACCAGCACACACACCACCTGAGCTGGGAGACGGAGCAGCTGTCAGGAGCCACCAGCAGTATCCTAGCATTGGAGCAAAGGAAACCAGACCCTCCAGGGCACAGTCCAGGAGTTGTGGGGTGCCTCCGTGGCCCTGCAAGAATGCAACGTCAAGTGCACGGAGCTGCAGGAGGAGAACCAGCAGCTCTGGATGCAGATACAAAACTTGGAGATGCAACTCCAGAAGAAAAAAGACAAGTCGGCACTTCGGAGGCTCTGAAGCAGGCACAGGAGGCGAACGCCCTGGAAGAGAAGAAGAGGCCTCCACAGGAGGTAGACAGAGTCAGCTTCTGGAATCAGCTGATGAAGGGGCAGCAAAAGGACCTCTTCACCCAGAGCCAAGAGATGCAAACCTCCCTATGCAGGGGGTCCTGCAGCGGGAAGTGAGGCTCTTACAGGCGCAGTACGAAGGGGAGGGGCCGAGGAGGACCTGCAGAGCATGGAAATCTCTCTGACGAAGCTAAGCGACCAGTGTGAGGTGCTCTCCAGGGAGAAGGAGAACTTCGAAGAGGAAAATCATAACCTCAGAAGGCAGAGTCAGACGTTGTCCAAGAACAAGAAGCTTCTCAAAGAGAATGTAGAAAAAGTAAATTTCTTATCAATAATGAAGGAGGAGGAGGAGGAAACATCATGGATTTCTGCGAGTCCCAGGTTCCTGTTCCTAGGAAGAAAAAGTAGTGGATTCGAGCCACAGCCTTCCATCAAATGTAAAAACAATGATTCTAGTCTACAGCCATACCACCCTGAACGTGCTATTTATGTATTGAATAGCCATTAATGCTGATCTCAGGATAGGTTGTAATACAATGAGATGTTAATTAAAAAAAAAAAAAAAAGATCTCGTGTGATCTCAGAAGCTAAGCAGGGTCGGGCCTGGTTCATACTTGGATGGGAGACTGCCTGGGAATACCAGGTGCTATAGGGTTAAAAAACACACTCAAACACACACACACAAAAAAGAACACAGCAGTTCTAGAGAACCAGCAAAGCCAAACCCAGACAGCCCTCTCAAGCCACTGGAGGCCACCCCAATCATACTCATTCTGGGTGGAAGAGCAGGAAGCCCCCAATGGGCCACCTCCAAAAGGTTATCTATCTGGGGATAACCATTTAGCCACTTGGTGCAAAGAAACAAAAGAACAAAGGAAACCCTCCAGCAGCCGGCCTGGCATTGCTGAAATGCTTTCTGTCCTTGTCTTCCTTGAATATCTCATCCTTTCTAAATAGGCTCTCCCTGTTCCAGACACTGGACATCCCTTTCCCGTTACCAGTGCCTCCACCAAATGCCCTCCCTCATTTATGAAAAACAAACAAGAAAATCCAAAAAAAACCACATTCTTCAAATCAATTAAACTTGAAAGGGGTGAAATTTCAGTGAGTTAGCAGCTATTAAAGTGTATGCGCATTTCTTGGAACTCTACATTCTGTCCAACTGGGAGTGATTCTCCTCCACTAGAGTCTCATCTGTGTGTACATTTGGGGGTGGTAGGGTGCCCTATACTTACGGTCAAAAGGCAGTCACTCTTTTCCTACGAGAGTCATTATTTGTTTCGACTGTGTGCACATTTTTTGGACCAGCCTATGTTTACATTCCATGGGGAGTCATTCAATTCCATCAGAAGTCTGACCTCTGTACCTTTTTTGGGGGACACACTGTGCTTACATTCTATAGGAAGTCATTTGTTTACATCCGGGTCTCACCTGCTGCTGTGTGTATCTGCTAGGCTCCTGACACATTGTTTCCTCTTGCTTACTAAAGGTACTCCTTGTGGGATGCACTAAACATGGTGCTTTGGGTTCTATAAAGAACTTCTCTGCTTGAGCTAAAGTACTGAGAAAGAAATGTTAACATGGTCAATTTTCTGAGTGCATTGATTTGTGTATTAAATAACCATTGATTCTGGAACACAAGGACAGGCTTGTAATACAATGAGATGTTAATTAAAAAAAAAAAGGGGGGGGGAAAGTTGAGAGTAATGTGAGCTAATGTCGCTGAGAAGCCATCTTGGTCATTATTCCTGGTCTAGAACAGAAACATAAACCACTGGGTGAAAAGAAGTGAAGCATCAAACCTGTGTGCATTTGAGTTCAGCCAAACTCCTCCAGCCTTTGGCATGTCAGTCTTCTCTCCTCTTCTCCCAGAGGAACTTATTTTAAATTGCCTTTCTAAATCTTTTTCAGACTGGAAGACTACCTGAAGAATCATTCCAAAACCCAAGGGTAGAGATACCCTCAGTGGAATCAGATCAGAGGAACTGTGGACAGGAAAGAGCTTCCATCTGCGACCAGTCCTTTCTCCACAACAGAGAGTTCCTCAAGAAGTGAGACTCCATAAACTTGAAATACAGATGAAGAGCCTCAGGAGGAATTCCGACAAACTGAGTCTCCCTCGAAATGGAGAGCGAAGCATTCAGGCTGAGGGAGCAGGACCAGCTCCAACAAGAGGCAGCACTGCAGGAGCTGAGGAAGGAGCTGCAGGAGCTAAACACTGAGAGGGAGACACTGAAGCAGGCACAGGAGGCAAACGCCCTGGCCACCAAGAGAAGTAGAGGCCTCCACAGGAGGTAGACAGAGTCAGCTTCTGGAATCAGCTGATGAAGGGGCAGCGAAAGGACCTCTTCACCCAGAGCCAAGAGATGCAAACCTCCCTATGCAGGGGGTCCTGCAGCGGGAAGTGAGGCTCTTACAGGCGCAGTACAAAGGGGCCAAGGAGGACCTGCAGAGCATGGAAATCTCTCTGACGAAGCTGAGCGGCCAGTGTGAGGAGCTCTCTAGGGAGAAGGAGAACTTTGAGAGGATAATCATAACCTCAGAAGGCAGAGTCAGACGTTGTCCAAGAACAGGCAGCTTCTAAAAGAGAATGTAGAAAAAGTAAATTTCTTATCAATAATGAAAGAGGAGAAAGAGAAGGAAACAGTCATGGATTCATGTGAGTTCCTGGTTCCTGTTCCTAGGAGGAAAAGGTGGTGGATTAGAGGCAGAGCCCTTATCAAGTGTAAAAGCAACGGTTTCAGAGCAAAAGACAGCCATACCAGGCCACTGGATCAAGACCCCAGGCCACTGGTTCAGGACAGCCAAATACAAATGAAGGAAGGCCTTCAGCCAGGTACAAATGTTATGACCCACCAAAAGACCCACACTAGAAGAGGCTATGCACATGTTGGCTGTGGAAAATTTCTCCATGAGAACTCAGCCCTCATTAGACATCATGTCTAATTCACACTGGAGAGAAGCCCTAACAATGCAATGTGTAGCAAACCATTCAACCAGAGTTCATGCCTTAGCATCAGAGAATTCATACTGGTGTGACGCCCCACCAATATGGAGGGTGGGAAGGCCTTCAGGTGTAGGTCAGCTTTCATTAGACACCAGAGCCTCCATGCTAGAGAGTAACTGCGAACATGACCGATGTGGATGGGGACCTGATGGTTAGAAAGCCTCTGGAAACATGCTTTTCTACCTTTAATAAAATGACTATCTAATGTGGAAGGTCTCATGACCTTTTTCCTCTTTAACATCATCTGTCAACAACATAACACAACTCAGATTACTAGTTACCTATAGTCAGTGGGCCTAAGTGCTTTTTTGTGTACCAAGCACTCCAGGAACCTTGGTTTATAAAGGTGTAATCAAATCAATGGAAGACCTGGTTCCTACTTAAATGCTAGGTATTTCAGCAATGGTGATCCCTCCTTGAATGACTTGCAAGAAAACAAAAGAACCAAGAATTTTGTCCAGAAAAGAGCATTTCTCTGTAATGGGGTCAGAGTATCTGATTTGAGGAAGTAAATTCAAGTAGAGAAGACTCTAGGGCCAATCATTTAATGCTACAATTTCATTGAGGGTATGTGATGAAGGCTTCATTCCTCAATGCCAAATATATGAAGGTGTACCTTATAGAGCGTCAGCCTTGGGCTGAATGGTCCCAGGTTCGATTCCAGTGAAGGGCACATGCCTAGATTGTAGGCTTGATCCCCATTGATGTTTCTATTTCAATCTCCCTCTCCCTTCCTCTCTGAAATATATATATACAGGTAAAACTTAAGTAACATTGCTATTTCCAATTTCCACTCTATGAACTGACCTAGTGCTTGTCTCAGCTGTTAAGTCTTGCAAAGTTAGAAGCTGAGGTGTCTGGGGCTAAGTTACTGAAATCTCTCCATGAGGCACCCTCTCACAGGGAGGGAGGGACAACCTGAAGCCATGCTCTCCCTGGCGCAGAGGCAGGTGGCTTAGCCCTGCTTTCCCTACTGGAGGACAATTCCCTTTGCTTTTCCACTTTGCACTCACCTGGGTCCTATTGCCACCAGGTACACCAACTGGTGTGACCTCATCTCAGCAGTTACAAACCACTGTGTGCTCCCTGGTTTCTGGTTAGGTATGTGTTTGACTTCGGGGACAGATTTCCCAGGCCTGGCTGCCTGCTATAAGGGAAGCTTGTGTCAACTATTCTCACCCCTTATTGTCCCTCACCTCCCACTAAAGATAGTGTCTTCTCCAACCCTGATTGCACCTGGAGGGACTAAAAGCCACCTGCTAAAGGGCTGCTGACAAAGGTCTTGGGTTAATCATCCCCAAGTGGTGTAGCTTATGTCAGTGCCCAGGTGGCCATCCACTGCTTGTCTACTAAAGGAAAAGTGAGTGATAAGCTCTAAAGGTGATTAAAAGAAACCAAGGGATGATGAGGAAAAAGGTGAAAACAGATTATCATCTGTCACTGGCTTAAAGCCAAGAGACTGTCAGGACTAGGCTGTAGCTAAACTTTAGAAGTATACTTGACCCTCACTTTCACAGAAACTCAGATAAACCAAGGACACAGGTCAGGTTTCTTAGTTAACCAATCAGTTAACCCCAGCTGTGTGCTGGAATGGATATTGAAGTCTTGAATTGCAGGTCCTGGGCCCCAGCCCACCAAATGACTTGGTCTATGATGAAGAACTCATCACCCTGTAGTTAGGCTGCACTACAAGCTTTCCTTCTGGCCAAGAACTATTTCTTATGAAGAGCTCCCGGGCTGTCTACAGAAATGCTGAGACGTCTTTCATGAGAGCTGCAGGCAGAGGGCAGAAACCCGCTACTGCTGAGATCACAGATGCCCAGATTGGTGCTTCCACAGGCTCCCCACTTGGTCCCGCTAACCACCTGACACAAAGAACCCAGCTCCCCAAGGAGGAGGCCACATAGAAAAGTCACTGCTTGTCAAATGATGTCTGAGTCCTTTTCCTTTGTAGTTCTTAAGTCTGTAGGAAAGAAGAAAGAAATCCTATCAGTGATATGGAAAAAAGTCTCCTCAACCCCACTACTGACCAATTCTAAAACTCTCCAGCTCTCCCCTGATTGATTTTAAGCAAAGAAAATAACAGAAGTCACTTACAGCGGGACATTTCACTGCACCACTGTTGATATCATCTATGATGTCATGAGGGTGGCGGCCATCAACATTGCACCCCACAGACTGGGCAGTCCCCAGGATCTCTTTAATTGTTCCTACAATTAAAGAAAATGTGACATTAGGTGGGAAACGTCAGCCCCTCACAATCCTCACACACCGCTGGGAACACCCATTTGAGTTCCACAGCAGACAGTGTCATAAAATATCGGAAATAAACACCCCGACTCTCCTACCTGAGAGCTCTCATTTAGTTATGCAAGGCCTGAATGCCAAGTCTCCATGCCACCCTGAAGACCCAGATTAAATACATCTGACCCCAAATCACCATGATCAAGTCACATTTTTCAAACCCAGAAAAGACTATGCTCCAAATTTTGTGTGTTAAATAATTAAGTTTCTTTTAAATGGGAAAAAAAGGTACCACTGGGTGAATATGCCCCATGTCACTAGGTGGTTCCATGTCGTCCTGCTCTTACCAGAGAGTTCTCTGGCTAAAGATCGGTGTCGCATCTGTCGGGCAATACTGACAATCTCATCGAATGTGATGTTTCCACTGTGCTTAACTGCAGAGAAAAGAAAACACGGCAAAAGCTTTGTCACACCCAAAGCCAGGCCAGACCACAATGGCCTCCCTCAGCCATTTCCTGGTTGTCCCCTGCTTTCGGCACAGAGTCATCCACATGAAGAATAACCCTGTTTGCTAAGCTGGGGGTTCCTTTCAGCTCACCACTGGAATGCACCAGCCAACGGGGGAGTGGTCAGGTGCAGTGGCGGGTGGCTAATGGCAAAACCAAATCTGTACCCATCTTCACGTGTGCCTGTTTCAGAGCTGAGAATGGGCAAATTTCAGTGACTGGGGTTCATCCATTCAGAGGGTCACCCAGCTGAGAAGCGCTCTCTTCATTCATCCTTCTCAGTTGTTTCACCCGGAATGGCCCTTCCTGATACTGCCTGGCTATGTAGCAGCCCACCATCCAATCCCTAGGTCTCCTTAAGAGGAAAGCATGCAGCTAAGTACAGGCGTTACGCAGACACCACCGCTCTCACACTGCTCAGTGACAGAGCGGCCACTCACTGTCTTTTTTGCTTCTCTCCGTCTCGGCCCCTCCGCAATGCCCGCTTTCACCGCGTCGCGCTTTTAACCTGCTGCCCGGAGTCCTCTCCGGAGCCGCGTTCAGGGCCGTGAAGTCCTAGCCAAGCCGCTTCCTCCTTCTGGGCTTCAGCTTCCCCACGTGCAGACGGGGAGTGAGGACTGAGCACCCGGGAGGGAGGACTGAGCACCTGCGGCGGCATCGCAGCCCGCAGGCTCAGAGTCAGGTTCCCCCACAGACTGGGCCCTGGCTCGGCTGCCTCCCCGCTGCCTGGGGTGCGCCTCCTTAGCCGTTGCCCAACCGAAGGCCACGCGTCCTGGTGGCGGTTGGAACTGTCCACGCCCGAGGTGGGGGTGCCCGCCTCGCTCCGCCCCGAGGTTCTCGGTGCTGTTTGCAGAACAGGCGAATGCACGTGGCCCGCCCGGAGCGATGTGGGGAGGGGGAGGGCTGAGGCTGGGACCCTGCAGATGCACTGACCGGTTTTTTTCCTCCCAGTATACCTGAGGTGCACCGGTGGGGAAGTGGGTGCCACGTCTGCCCTGGCCCCCAAGATCGGCCCCCTGGGCCTGGTAAGTCCTCGCGGTGGGCGTTTCTGACTTGGGAGCAGTTGGGCGCTGCCCTGTCACACACAGCTGTGCCTGCGGTGCCAATGGCGCTGGCGATTTCCACCCCCGAGCAGACCTCGGGCACGGATTGCCAGGAGGTGCGTTAGCAAGGTCATCTCTGAGCACAGAGCCCAGTCCCTGGAAGCGGTGACTTCCTCTCCGCTGCCTCCTGACCGCTGTGGGAGTGGACCTGAGGGGAGGCTGGGAGGGCCACGTGAGGGCTTTGTAGTTAGGTGGCTTAGTGACTTTTAGCTTATGTTTTATTTTTATTGATTTCAGAGAGGAAGGGCGAAGGAGAGAGAAACATCAGTGATGAGAGGGATACGTTGATTGGCTGCCTCCTGCACGCCCCCTGCTGGGGATTGAGCTCTGGCTTTAGGTTGTGACAACAATCGAATGTGATATTTCTACTGTGCCTACTGCCAGACAGATGGGACAGCGATCTTTAGCCAGAGAACTCTCTGGTAAGAGCAGGACGACATGGAACCACCTAGTGACATGGAGCATATTCACCCAGTGGTAGCTTTTTCCCATGTTAAAGGAAACTTAATTATTTAACATGCAAAATTTGGGGCATAGTGTTTTCTAGGTTTGAAAAATGTGGCTTAATCATGGTGATTTGGGGCCAGATGTATTTAATCTGGGTCTTCAGGGTGGCATGGAGACTTGGCATTCAGGCCTTGCATAGCTAACTGAGAGCTCTCAGGTAGGAGAGTCAGGGTGTTTATTTCTGATACCTTATGACACTGTCTGCTGTGGAACTCAAATGGGTGTTCCCAGTGGTGTGTGAAGATTGTGAGGGGCTGGCGTTTCCCACCTAATGCCACATTTTCTTTAATTGTAGGAACCATTAAAGAGATCCTGGGGACTGCCCAGTCTGTGGGGTGCAATGTTGATGGCCGCCACCCTCATGACATCATAGATGATATCAACAGTGGTGCAGTGGAATGTCCCGCTGTAAGTGACTTCTGTAGTTTGTTTGCTTAAAATCAATCAGGGGAGAGCTGGAGAGTTTTAGAATTGGTCAGTAGTGGGGTTGAGGAGACTTTTTTCCATATCACTGATAGGATTTCTTTCTTCTTTCCTACAGAGTTAAGAACTACAAAGGAAAAGGACTCAGACATCATTTGACAAGCAGTGACTTTTCTATGTGGCCTCCTCCTTGGGGAGCTGGGTTCTTTGTGTCAGGTGGTTAGCGGGACCAAGTGGGGAACCTGTGGAAGCACCAATCTGGGCGTCTGTGATCTCAGCAGTAGCGGGTTTCTGCCTCTGTGCCTGCAGCTCTCATGAAAGATGTCTCAGCACTTCTGTAGACAGTCCGGGAGCTCTTCATAAGAAATAGTTCTTGGCCAGAAGGAAAGCTTGTAGTGCAGCCTAACTACAGGGTGATGAGTTCTTCATCATAGACCAAGTCATTTGACTGGTTGGGGCCCAGGGCCTGCACTTCAAGACTTCGATATCCATTCCAGCACACAGCTGGGGTTAACTGATTGGTCAACAGAGAAACCTAACCTGTGTCCTTGATTGATCTGAGTTTCTGTGAAAGTGAGGGTCAAGTATACTTCTAAAGTTTAGCTACAGCCTAGTCCTGATAGTCTCTTGGCTTTAAGCCAGTGACAGATGATAATCTGTTTTCACCTTTTTCCTCATCATTTCTTGGTTTCTTTTAATCTCCTTTATTTATTTATTTATTTATTTATTTATTTATTTATTAAATATATTTTATTGATTTTGTACAGAGAGGAAGTGAGAGAGATAGAGAGTTAGAAACATTGATGAGAGAGAGTCATCAATCAGCTGCCTCTTGCACACCCCCTACTGGAGATATGCCCGCAACCAAGGTACCGAACCCGGGTCCTTGACCGGAATCGAACCCGGGTCCCTTCAGTCCCCAAGCCTATCCATCGAGCCAAACCGGTCTCGGCTCTTTTAATCACCTTTAGAGCTTATCACTCACTTTTCCTTTAGTAGACAAGCAATGGATGGCCACCTGGGCACTGACATAAGCTACACCACTTGGGGATGATTAACCCAAGAGCTTTTGTCAGCAGCCCTTTAGCAGGTGGCTTTTAGTCCCTCCAGGTGCAGTCAGGGTTGGAGAAGACACTATCTTTAGTGGGAGGTGAGGGACAATAAGGGGTGAGAATAGTTGACACAAGCTTCCCTTATTGCAGGCAGCCAGGCCTGGGAAATCTGTCCCCGAAGTCAAACGCATACCTAACCAGAAACCAGGGAGCACACAGTGGTTTGTAACTGCTGAGATGAGGTCACACCAGTTGGTGTACCTGGCGGCAATAGGACCCAGGTGGGTGCAAAGTGGAAAAGCAAAGGGAATTGTCCTCCTGTGGGGAAAGCAGGTCTAAGCCACCTGCCTCTGCGCCAGGGAGAGCATGGCTTCTTCAGGTTGTCCCTCCCTCCCTGTGAGGGGGTGCCTTATGGATAGATTTCAGTAACTTAGCCCCAGGCACCTCACCTTCTATCTTTCCAAGACTTAACAGCTGAAACAGGCACTAGGTCAGTACCTAGTGTGGACATTGGGTATAGCAGTGTTACTCAAGTTGCACCTTTATGTAAGTGTACACACACACACACACACACACACACACACGAGGCCTGGTGCACAACATTTGTGTAATGGGGACCTGGGGGAGTCCCTCAGCCCAGCCTGAGCCCTCTCTCAGTCCGGGACCCCGCATGGATGACCCCCTGCCCACAGAGAGCAAGCCTAAGTTGGTAGGTGGGTGGACATCCCCAGAGGGATCCCTACGGCTGCTTCGGAAGCGGGAAAGGTTCCCGCCACCACTGCTGTGCTCCTGGCTGAGCGGTGTTCCCGCTGTGGGAAGGCACTGACCAATAGAGGGCAACTCCAGTGTTGAGTGTCTGCCTCCTGGTGGTCAGTACATATCATAGCAACCTGTCGTTCCACTGTTAAGTTGATTTGCATATTAGCCTTTTATTATATAGGATATATACATATATAATTTTTTTATTGATTTGAGAGGAGAGGGAGAGAGAAAGAAAAGCATCAATGATGAGAATCCTTGACTGGCTGCCTCCTGGAAAGCCTCCCACTGGGGATCAAGCCCACAATCTGGGCATGTGGCCTTGACTGGAATCGAACCTGGGACCACTCAGCCACAGGCTGACCCTCTATTCACTGAGCCAAAACAGCCAGGGCTGTAGGTTTTCATATACTAGGTTTTCATATTAAGGCATGAATCCTTCATCGCGTACCCTCAATGAAATTGTAGCATTAAATGATTGGCCCTAGAGTCTTCTCTACTTGAATTTACTTCCTCAAATCAGATACTCTGACCTCATTACAGAGAAATGCTCTTTTCTGGACAAAATTCTTGGTTCTTTTGTTTTCTTGCAAGTCATTCAAGGAGGGATCACCATTGCTGAAATACCTAGCATTTAAGTAGGAACCAGGTCTTCCATTGATTTGATTACACCTTTATAAACCAAGGTTCCTGGAGTGCTTGGTACACAAAAAAGCACTCAGGCCCACTGAATATAGGTAACAATTGTAGTAATCTGAGTTGTGTTATGTTGTTGACAGATGATGTTAAAGAGGAAAAAGGCTCTGAGACCTTCCACATTAGATAGTCATTTTATTAAAGGTAGA